GCGTTTGCGCAAAAGTTCTTTCCACACTGACCAATTTTCACCATCCATGTTACAAGCGCTAGCGTCTGCTTGAGAACTTAATCATAAAGGGTGTGTGGTGTAGTCCTCGTTAGTATAGTGGTCAGTATCCCCGCCTGTCACGCGGGAGACCGGGGTTCGATTCCCCGACGGGGAGTATTTGTTTTTTATTTAAAAACTATACTATTTAATAAATATTATATAATGTATACCATGGTACATCCAGTTCGTTTTCTCTACAAAATCGCTTATTGACGTTTTAAATGATTGATTTCAATGTCGATTTTTGTACGATATGTCATATATGAGTAAGCAGTGATCTTGTGAGAGTCCAAAGAAGTGTACTAAAGATGGAAGTATATGAACCATTAATGATATTAAGATATTTAGGTATATGTTATTTATAAACAGAGAGTTGTCATCGGACACTAATATAAACGAAACCAGGGTCATAATTAATAATAGCCTGAAGCAGCAATTGCCTGCTCGTAACAGTTTATGGAAGGCAAAATTCTTGTTGTCATCTTGATTTTATAATAAGAGTGAAAATAAAATTCATACCACAAACAAATGGGTTATTGCTAAATCTAGCAAAACATTCCGTCGAGCCGGATTTGAACCGGCGACCTAAGGATAGCTGCTGTTTTCTACAGTCCTCCGCTCTGCCAACTGAGCTATCGACGGTACGTCGTGTTACCGTTTCTCTGGGTAATCCCACATGGAGTGTCCGAATACTAGTACGTGTTATTACTTTTTAGCATTACGAAAGTAATACAAGGGTTCTTGTATAACAGTCGACAGGACAAACGGCACTCACGCAGCAAGAGTATTCATCAGACTCACGGTATTTCCAATGTCTTAGACGAAACGATTCTGCCTTTATAATACTGTCTGTATAATCACGAATTGCGCAGCATGTGTTAGTGATGTGACTCAAAGCGATATTGATAATTACGACCGCGTTTACGATACAATTGGAATAAAAAAATAAATCTTTTTAGTGCTGCACGTTATATGTATGATTCACGATTAAATAAATGCATATAATCGTAGCCATCATGGAGATTAATCCAGATTAGTGCGACCTAGTTTCAGCCAGTAGTAGAGCCACGATTGACGATTTAACGTGTGGCGCCGTGGCTTAGTTGGTTAAAGCGCCTGTCTAGTAAACAGGAGATCGTGGGTTCGAATCCCACCGGAGCCTAACCATTTTCTCGCTTCTTTTTTCGCAGTTGGTATATTGTTAATTGTTTCTTTTCACCTACGCATTTTTCGTAAGGTAGAATTCGAAGTATTTCTATATTTCAACGTTTTCTTAAGACGTTTCTATACAGACATTACCTCTATGAATTCATCAAAGCAGCTTCGTCCCATTGATGGAATGCAGCTCCTTACCATTGTCGCTTTACGCCAGCATTTTTATATGACTAACACTAGCATAATACCATTTACTAAATATAGTTGATATTTTCGTATGACTAAGTGCTTCGTGCATGCCACCAGCACCAAGAACGACACCGCATTTCCAAATATTTTAAATTATAGTTACGTATAACTACATTACGCAAAAATAACGTAAAGCACTAACCTTTTCGTGAGGAAAAATCGATATTGAAGTAACAGGACAAAGATGAAATAGACAATTCCTTGACCAGCAAGGCACACAAGATTTAAGCCAAGGAATTCCCATTCTAGCGGATGCCGAAACGTCTTAAGGCCGAAACGGGCCAAAGCGGCCGCGGTAAGGTGATTAGCAAACATGTCCATTAGGCCTCTGCCGAGACAATACTGTGGGAAGACGAGAAATACCTGAAAAACATACGGATAGCGCGAGCGCTGAATTATTTCTCCAGAGATTACCTTTGGTAGTACCACATTTGCTATACTTACTTATTTCTGATGACTTCATCAAAAATTCTTTTGTTAACACTGTGTATTTTCAAGCTTCTATTATAATCACGGACATATGAACCTTAAAATATAGATGTTCTTCAGATTTTATATTTCAAATGAAGATATATAGATTTTTCTAATATATCAAAATTAGCACATCTCAAAAATCAGATAATAATAATAATAATAATATAACCCTCCCAACATTATAATAATTAAGCTCGGCCTGTCCTTTCTTATTAATCATCATGAATCACATACACATTGTATGGTTAGGTTAGGATCAAAATATATAACTGATGATAATCTACAAATCTATTAGATTTATTAAAGATTATTACTAAAGATTTATTAAAGAAGGCAAACTGGTTTTCAAGAACGAAAATGTTCACCCACTAGATAAAAATATATGAAGATCTTGACGAATCCATCTTATGATTTAAAACATATTTAGGTGAACTGCGTTAACAATAACTGTTATTACACTCCGTTTATCGAAAATATGAAAATCATGTGGACTATGCTCAAGCAGTGATTATATATTTGACATATCAAACTACTTGCTAATAGGCTTGTTCGCAAGATCAAACTATGGCTCATGTATACATGGTTCTCCACGCATTATTAGTAACATAAAGCTAAATACCTTTCGTAGAATTCTGGCAATAGATAAGAGTTCGTCGTCATCAAATAGCTCGAGAACATAGGTTGCCACGGTGGACACGATGCCGACGAACATGTTACCACAGGACAGTGAAACGAATGCCGAGGAGGGTACATCGAATAAGAACGAGGCTGGGTACATGAGAGGTATTGAAGACCATCCGTACAGAAGAAGAAGCAGAATTAACGCTCCTAGAAATGACACAATGGTTCATGCTGATATGCCAACGTATACCAGTTTCTGCTCCAATCTTACAGTATAAATGTAGTCGTTCATTGTTTGTCTTCCATACTTTTATTAATTGAACTTAGTCCCATATATGATAAAAGCCATCGCGACAGTGCTGAAACTAAGTTACAAATTACTAATATTGTATACATTAATCGGATCCGGCGAAGTGAGCACGAAAATACTGAACACCTTTCTATTCTATGCTGGCCTTAATGATTCCCATGGAAGTCGTTAAATGCACTATCTGTCATTACTAATAGCGTATAATGTTATTTGAAAAATGTAATTAGTCTAACAGCAATTGAAAATGTTCGTGAGCATACATTATATAAGTCAATTAATTTATCGCCGCAGTTAACAGTAGTGGTAAGATGATCTACGTTGTTTATCTTAGCCATCTGCCGACGACCTTCTATGCTATACTAGAATGTATTAAAAAGCAATATTATTATTAATTAATGTATTAATGTATTAAAAAGCAATATTATTATATTAATATCGTCACAGGATGCCGATGAACAACTATGACGTCTCATTCGTTGTATAATACGCAATAAATTTGACCGCAGCTTATTTCAACCGCCATGTTTTGGCGGCTTGCTTTAACTATTTAAGTCATACGCCAATATTGAAAAGCCGTTGTGCGCGGCACAAATACTGTCCGCCCTCGTGGCCTAACGGATAAGGCATCGGTCTCCTAAACCGGGGATTGCGGGTTCGAATCCCGCCGAGGGTATCAATATTTTGTGTTCTTGATTAATTATAAGTTTCATAGGTTTTTCACCACTTAAGTGTTTGCACCAGATTGCTAATAAAGAATACGGTGCAAGAGAGGAGTGGCAATTACAATTTCGCTTAAAATTTTTTTCAGCTCTTCTATGAATTGTGTCGAAGTGATTTCTAATAATACTAACAGTAATACACCTGCACTAATATTTTCTTAAATAACATAGAGGTATTTACATAACAAGTACCTACCAAAGCTACTCACCGATGTTATCTTTGGAGACGTATGCTTCTTCATTGAACGCCATAAAAATGAACACACACAGGAAGACCGGAATGATATAGTTGCACATGTCCCAGGAGTACTGGCCCAGCCAGTACAGGCATAATTTCAGACCGGACACAAATTGCAGATGTTTGCTACCGGACACTCGGTCCTCGATCAGAAACATGACGAATGATGCCGGCACGAAGGACATCGCGAAGATAACACACGTCGCATGCAAAAGCGACAGTCCACCGCGTTTTCTGCGAGCCAAACGGTCAAGATGTTTAATTAACTTTAATCATTAATTTAACAATAAAATCTCGTCTGCATAAATTATAATTTTTTAATCTATAACAAGAAAAACGTTCAACAGGGCCAATGAATGATTTGGTGCGCCACAAAATAAAAGATCTGGCCCACGCAGGGATCGAACCTACGACCTTCGCGTTATTAGCACGACGCTCTAACCGACTGAGCTAGTGGGCCACCGACTCCACCCTAATGCAAGGAGAGTTTTACGTATTCACCCTTGCATCGATATAATCTGTTTCTCCCATTCGATATCACTGGTACCGCCTGCATTACACCCGAGACAGCCGAGTGTAATATTTGTTTTGTTCGAAAAATACTTCTTGTTTTAGAAATTGTAAGGAATTCTTTCAGATAGAAATAACCGCCAGCTGTATATGTGCAGCAAAGATTATAACAGCAAAAGGCTGCATGCGCACTTTGGGACACGGAAGCCAGCGACAAAATGGCTCGGTTTATTGCTGCTGCTGAGTTTCTGGTTGAACAATGCATTGCGGCTAACTACAGTCCGACACGACCTGAGGGAATAATGCGTTCGTCACCATGGGCTCGTGGCGCAACGGATAACGCGTCTGACTACGGATCAGAAGATTCCAGGTTCGAATCCTGGCGAGCTCGGTTTTTGCTGAGATTTGCCTTTTAGTCTATATCGTTTTAAATAATACTACGCATTACAAAGAATATCCTCTCCTTATTCTTAATATTTCTCTTTCTACTAAGTGGCGGTGAAGTAATCACAACGATGATCACACGCAGCTTATTAAGAACTTTCAATAGCTTTTGCCATGTAGGTTTGATTCATGCGAAGCAATGCTGAAAGGGCTCAACATGTATGTGGACACAACTCCATCCTGATGTGTTTAATACCTACTTAAATGCCTGTAAAAAGACGGTATTGACTAAAAGCGACAAAAAGATGCCGCCTTGCCCCGGGTGAGGATCGAACTCACGACCTTCAGATTATGAGACTGACGCGCTGCCTACTGCGCTACCGAGGCGGACACCTCTACAGATAATTAAAATCAATCTGACCCAACATCTAAGTAAAAAGTCGCGCGCAAATTAATACTACTCTTTAATAAGTTAATATGTGTGCTAGAAATGAGAAAGCTCATTTTCTACCAAAAGTGATTCTAAACTTAAAGAAGCTTTTCTAAATGTTTACTGCATATTGCATAAATTCCGCTGCATTTCCCCCTGATAAGCCGCAACGGCAGGTAATATCCGTGTTAATGCGTGAGTGCGAAATGAATCTCAATGAACGAATTTTAGTACAATCGTATAAAAACAACTGTCGAATTAACGGGCGCGTCCTCCAACATTTCGTGTGACTTATATGTAGCTAGCTGTAAGCACTGTCTGAAATTATTGAAAATAATCTCCACTAAACAATGCAGACATTGCTATATATATACAACACGAATGGATAGTTTGCTACAGTAGGGTAAAGGACTATAGGAAAGGGCTGTTATTCACGTGTCTCTGCGAAAGGTCCTTTGAGTTGCCAGGGAGACGGCGCGCTCGTCTTTGAAGGGCAAAAGGAAATGATTCCTGTGTGCGCGTTTTACGAGTCAAACGCATAGCGCTTTATTGGACCGATGATAAGACAAGACCAGTCAGTCGGGTGTACCCACCTTCGATTGACTTATAATTATATAAAAAGGAAAGGCTAGTGATTCTAATCACTATATCTGTGTCAATTTGGGTAGCATAGAAATAACAACTGCTTACTAAAAACTGGGTCTATAAAGTGGCTAACAGCTTTGCAAATGTATAAACGGTAATTCAAAATACAATGACATGCAATGAATACATAAACTACATACCCATCACCTCTTTAACCAGTAAATTTAAAATGAACTTAAATTAGTTCAAAACAACTTAAAAACGCACGTACGGAAAAGCTTATCAATGAATCAAGAATACACATATGTTACTTACAAGAGTTCGTCTTGCAGCTGACTTTGTGTGAAATTCATCGGATGATTGATCACGGATATTCCATAGTCGGCCGGATCTTCACCTGGTGGAAGATGCGCTCTCAATAGGATATTGTTCAAGGCGTTCATGTAGGCCACGGAAGAAGCCCAGCCCTTATTGTTGAACCTGTAATAATAAAAAAATAGCAACGTACAGACAATTGGCAGGTGCAGCCATCTGAGACCGTAAAGCATATTCAGTTAACTTCAACGCAATATCGCGTTGACGGTCGATAAAATTATTATTGAGAAATTATAATGTCTAGTACAGAAAGAATACTAAAGCCGGTGGCGACCTCTAAACACAGGCCTTCGGCAACAGGTTTTTCAACCGCAGGGATCGAATCGATCATTAATCGTTAGCTAGTTACAATATGAACGTACGCGAGCATACCGACTTTAACTTTCCAAAAAATACGGACACCTCATCAGTGCCGCTATCACATTCATATCGGCTAGAATATACTGCACGATCTTGTCGAAAATGGAAGTTGAAGTAATGAAAATAATCATAGCAATATTCACCAGACTTTAGCGTTGTTGAGCACCTGTGTGCTTGTGATCCTTTGAGCAAGAATGTCAAACGTAGCGTGCGAATCCAATCCGCTCATTTCGGACATTCGCTCGACGAGTAACTGTAAAACCGTATAATTAAGCGAAACCACAGGATTCTTAACGCCGAACTGGAAGCCACCATAACGTCTTTTGTGATATTGTTTCCAGGTTTTCACAATCCAGTCGGATATGTTTCGTCCAGTCATATTGAGTAGGACATCTGTTGTAGGTGTAATGAGCGAGGGAGGGGCCGGTGGTTCGTGGGGGCATTTGAGAGTGCCCACGGAACAATCGCACGTCTCAACATGGTTGGCAGCCACAAGGTCGTACGGCTCTGCTAAGGTCGATGTGTTGGTCAACAAGTCAGACCTACACTGCATGTCCCTATCATTTCGTTAGCAGGACACAAGATAGACAAAGTTATTTAGGACAAACTTGTTATATATGCATAAATGTATTATTTTTTTCAGTTGCTTTTTGTTATAGTGCGAACGACACAAAATCAATTTCACTAAATGTAACCCATAAACAAAAAATACAGCATACACACATGCCCCTGTGTGAATTTACTACTATTTGGATACTTCGATACGTAAACATGTTCTTGAATATTGTCTAAACCATCTTATTTCAGACGTTTCCTGTGATTTACTGAAATGGCTACGAATAATTAACCGGTCAAACACCGTTTTCGACATTATTTTTTTTAATAGGAAAGGTTTATAATAAAAGAAAAGCCATTTAGGTTGCGAGTGGATGTTACACTGTGCGTAAATGCTAACAGCAGCAGATTTATTCGACTTGGTTTTTGTTCCAAAAATTGAATCGTATATGAATTGCGTAGGTATACATGATAATTTGAATCAAGTGAGACAGTGGTACTTACTGTAGTCGGACGCTCTTCATGCAGCGGATCCCTAGTCCAGGTTTTGACAGTAGCGTGTCCACATATTTCTCATTCAGAGGATCCATGTTGTCTTCGTTGCTGGAGGAAAATATCGAAAATGGAATATATACTGATTACAGCGATGTTCCTAACTTTAACAGAAATAAGTTTCTTACTATCATGGCCTGATGCTGACAACGACAATTTTGTCTAAAGGCTTCAAAGTATGTTCGAAGTAGAGTCTTATGAGTAAAACAAATTGCTAGCTATCGTTTATATGAGTAGCGAACGGCTCCATATGTTCCAAAGAAATTCGTATAGCAGGTGAGGAGATTTTCGCGCTGACCTGCATATGTTGGTTGGCTAACCTTTTAGGCCAATAAGCAAATTAACTAAAAGGTATTGTCCGTCGGGGAATCGAACCCCGGTCTCCCGCGTGACAGGCGGGGATACTCACCACTATACTAACGAGGAGTACGACGTTAGCTCGAGTTAATTTGGCTTATATACACTTTAATGCAACGGTCTTTTTAAAATCGTTTTTGATTTTCCGTCCACAAGCAAAGCCGAATTTTAAATGAGATAAAATGATGAATCGTAGAAGGACTTCTTCAATCATAACAGTAACATAGCTTTTGTCTAGATTAACATCACTGTGATATCACTTGGCGCATAAAGAGCTCCTCCGGCAGAAATTGCTTTTTCGGAACAGTTCGACATAGTCTATAAAAGAACATTCATTCGACCCACTTTAGCATGATCAGAGATATTACCTAAATTATAAGGTCAAAATGCTAGAGGAGCTAGACTTATTCAGCGGGGAGCCAACAACTGTCGAGGCCCAGATAGCTCAGTCGGTAGAGCGTTAGGCTTTTAACCTAACGGTCCGGGGTTCGAGCCCCCGTCTGGGCGCTTCTGTTTTTTGGTGTTCCCCAAATTTTGCTTCTCTTATACTAGAAAATTGTTAACAGTCACATCAATCTTACATGGCGCGGAAAGATTACAACGCATATACAAAACTTTGTTTAGATACGTTTCAGATACACCTACGATCAAGCGGTGGATTGTCTTAAAGGGTTATCTATTATCTGACATTCATCAATCGACAATTTTTTTAAATATTAAATAAATATTAAATCCGTCCGAAGCCCTAGAGCGGTTCGTAAGGCCTGGGCAAATATACCTGAGATTGAAACAATGTATAGCTGCTAGCTGAAAGTCGACCTTCTAAACAAGTAAATCGCACTATCTTGAATTTCCCAGACGTCTTATCGATTAGAGTGCCAATAATTTAATCAAACTTTAAATTGACACGCAAATTTTTATAAACCCGGTTGTATATATTTCAAAACGTTAAGGAAACAAAATACGAAGTTCTCACGAACAGATCATAGAGGTCATTCATAGGGCACATATGCATAACGGGGCTGCCTTCTCTATAAAAAGCACTCAAGAGCCACTAAGCAAACGCGATTTGGCACGAAAAGCTTTAACGCCCCCGGGTGGGCTCGAACCACCAACCTTTCGGTTAACAGCCGAACGCGCTAGCCGATTGCGCCACGGAGGTATGTTCAGAAAATCTTGTGTGTTTAGCTTCTGCGCTCAGAGGACGTATTAAGACGGAATCAATAGCAAGTTCGGGGATTTTAGCATTACATATATGTATACAATAACCATTTATATTTTTTGAGCAGTTTCTGATCATTTTCCACTAATATTCCACTCAGATGTTCGAACTGAGCTTAGTACCACTATTTTTTTTATAGTGAACGTTTAACTACAGCCTGTATCTCTAGTGCCAGGTTTGGCGTGTACTATTACTACTGTTATTTTACAAAGTTATGTTATATGTGACCAAAACTATTGTTGATGAGCAGACGTTGTGTAGCATTGTTTTAAATGAAATCCAATGAAAAAGTGAAACGTTTTTTACATCTCCGGGTCTTTGATGTATACATCTTACGCATGATTAGTCCTACTATTAAAATAATCATTTAGTCAAAAACCAAGATTTTTTCCATTCATTTAATTCATCAAAATTTACAGGATTTGTCTTACTTCTTGATAGTTCCACTCTTCAACAACTGAATCAAAATACTAACTGTTATACATTTACATATATACAACAGTATAACAGGTATATACAGACCCGTTTGGTCTCACAACTACATTGTGTACGGCATTTGCGATTCGAAATAAGAGAGTCAAATATAGGAAGGTAACTTACATTTTGATTCAGCTCATCGAGAGCTTTCAATCAGTATTAAGTAATACTGAATCTCATATAAGTGAAACAGGCACTATATTTGAATATATTTGAAATATCCATTTTAGGTGTAGTAAAACGTATTGCATTTTTAATGAATATACCGGTATCAAGCAGAATGGTACTTTGCTCTATTTGATATGTTTCTGATATGTTGATATTTCACTAATAAAATCTATCGGAACTATCCAAAATGCCTTTGGAACAGATTTTCATTCTATTGCACATGGGGAAAGGCAACGTCGTTATTCAGGCTTTCCGCACTTGAAATACCTCTTTTATGTAGAGGGACATGAATTGTTTTTTTATTTGGCTCGTCAGTCTACCGATTCGAAGCAAAAAATCTCCTCTATACGCGAATATTTTATTGTTTTTTTTTATCAGAACTACTTTTAGTTGTATCAAAAGGCGGCTCACACCAACATTTATAAGTTTTTTACGGACACATATAAAAGATTCCAAACAAAGAGAACCTGAAAAAGGCGATTTTAGAAAGAGATCCTTAGTCGGAAGATGCCACCAAAAACAAAAAATAATTTAATAATGTCAAAATTTGTTAACACCCAAAAACTACTATTAAAGTAATTTTATTTCCCTGATTCAGCTAATCTACGTGGAAAAGTAAACAATAATTTAATCGTACACCTACACCTTTACAGTTATTAAATTGCAATCAATTTGAAATTCTGTAGTTGTTCTATTGCAGTCCCAATTCCATTTTCCCGACTCAGTGGATCTTTTGACAGTATTCATTAGTAATTCTTACTCGGGGTCACTGGGCCCGTTAGCTTAATATAGTTATTCGATTGTTTTGTTTCGGGCTAGCCCTGCTTTCCTGTTAAAATGTCTTAGAAACCTATTTTTTTTTTATTACAACGAATCCGTTAATGCACTTCGCGTATCCTGCTATCTACATAAATAGTTGATCTTGATTTCTTAATTGTCAATATGAAACCACATAAGCTGCACTTGTACCCGCAAAGTTAACTTCCGATCGTGCACTCCGCGTTGCATTTATCCTGTCTCAGTAGCTTTGATTCAGTCGAAGTGAAGATGTAGCTAACTGATCACGGCACTGGGGCAATAAATTTAGATCTCTTCAATGCGCAGTCTCAGGCCGTCGACGTGCAAGTCTCTGTCTGCAACGAGCAAGAGGATATTCTGCATTGCTGCTTTGTAGTCTAGCCAATTGCTAAGCCTTGTCTTGTCTAATACCACTGTTCTATTTACCGCAATGCTAGCAGCTCAGACTCGCGAATAAGTTATTCTATTCTTATATTCTTACTTAAAGAGTTCTATTCTTATACAATTACTTAACGAGTATTTATTTAAAAGGAATAGCGGCTGTCTAGACATTTTGGTAGACAATTTCTGCCGTTCTGCCGGCTACAAATATAGGCTTTGGGTAAGCACGAACATGGTGCGATGCTGTGCTCTGTGTGAGGTCTGTAGTCCCATCATCGGACAACAAAGAGTCGAGCTCATTTTGCGTTTATGTATTCATCTCTTGCATAGCTCATTCATTGGATGGCCGTATACGTATTAATGCAGAGCTCCGCAAATTATAAATGGCAAACGCAGGCTGAAAAGGAGTTCTTAAGGAGTAATGGACTAAATTTAACCTCGTCCCTAAATGGCTATTAGCTTAGTATTAGGCGTTGTCGTCATTGATTGTGGTCAGATTTGTTGAAAAGACGTTGCGCTAAAGAGAGAGAAGTATTGCATTAACCTTGTTCAGTGCAAAATGATGTGTCCCTAACGGATTTGCAGGAACGTCAATGTTGCACAGCAAGTAGCTTTCAATATTCTATTTCGTCCTCCGTTTTGAACAATTTGAGAAGAGTGAAAACCTCGGAAGGCAAAATAAGAGATTCAGAGTGAACGAGACAACTATGCACAGGATTTGCAAGTCTTCACTACATTAATTATAGGTGTTTATGTTGAAAGGCAATTAAAGATAAAATATTGCACGATGATCGTAATAATTGTTTCTATACACGTTTATATATAATGTTTCTATATATCTGTGTCCATTGACCAAGCTCATATTTTAATTATATAGCTATACTTATAGAAGTAGCAGTAACCATAACAGTGTTGAATTATATTGTATTTTTACGGCGAACAACTATGAAATCTGAAGATAAATATATGTGCTCGGTGGAAACGAATGAAGTATACAAGTGATTATATTTTGAAAGCACGTTTTTTTTCATCAATCATCTATTCCTATAAATTCTATACTGTTATGGTTAACTACAACCTTGAACATTGTTTGCATATAACTAATAGCACTACTTGTAATAAAATAATTGTTTTCATTGATTTTTTATTTAATCAACATATTTTTATTTAATTAAGGTTATGACAAAAATATAAACAGTAGTTAAATCTTGCTAAGTAGGCCTATTGTTACATTCGGTTAGATGTCAACCTGACATAGTAAGAATTATGAGGATTCCCCTCATCATTTTACTGATTAGGGATCTACAAGCTTCAGTCGTTAATTGTATGACATAGCGTGATCTAGACACTCGAATCAGACATTAATAATATGGCTACTTGCCACCTCGTAGATCGGCTTGTTGATCGAATCGTACCAATTCAAAATAGCCACCCCTATCGCTAACAGGGGCATACAGGGCGGAGCATTCTCTGTCAGTATCAAAAAGTTGATGATGTTGATGCCCGAGAAACGACGTTTGGTGAAAAAAGATAAAATAAGATAGAAAATGATATCTTGAATGCATAGAACGTATATCGACATAAGTATAGATTGTCAGTCGTATCTAGCTTAAACGACGAATATCGACTAGGACAATATCAACGAATCCGGTAAAAAATGATGCTAGTTTGGACTCACAAACAATTTTTTTTTAAAAATTCATAAATATATAATAAGAATATAAATAAATCTATAAAGTCCTCTAGGCTTCGAAATTAAAATCTCTGTCATATGAGTATGTGCAATTACTGGCGACACCGTTAAAATCGCTCGGTCGTCTGCTTTCGAACTAAATCGGTGATTTTTGATACAACGACTGTTTTCACTGCCCGACATCTTTGCATTCACGTGAACAAGATTTATTTCTACTTATTCTTTAAACTGCAACGTTCAACGATGCTATCACTTGGCGGTAGTTTAAATCGCATTTAAACAAAGACACTGATGTTCGGCACAATTCCTACTCACAGTAAGATCCTAGCCACCGCGCTGTTATTCTGGAGCATTCTGATCATGTTCTTTTGCTTCCCATTACTCGCTTTGCTAATGGACCGCAACGAACGGCCAATTTATGAGGTGACGATTGCTAGCCGTAGTATGTACAATTCACACACACACATACAAACTGGAATAACGGCGCTGCAAACAAGATTCAATTTTTTGTTTTTTTCTTAATTTTAGAATGACAACATATTTTGCACCTTCTTCGACGGTTCAGCATTCATGCTCTGCTCAAATATAAGTGGATTTGATCTCATAAATCGCCGTACGAGGCTCCTAACAGCCATCCAAGGCATGTATCTACAATCAACAGAGATCATCCATTCATCTCGGTACAGGCAGGGTTGCTGTATGTGTCAAATATACAATGGCCGGTTACATTCAGTGAGGTTTATTTTGATCCGACCCCTATATATTGCAACCTCCTTCTGCGGTCTACGATCTGATCTAATCGTGTACTACCCTTCAATGCCAATAACTTCCAGCTTGCGACGAGCGAGATGCCGTAAATCAGTCGCGCTTTTGTGACGTACTGAGTTTAGCTGAATTTCAAATTAACTCGATAAATACTGCAAAAATTGAGCCACTCCTAGGTTGCTCGCGGAACTCACAGGGGTACCTGCACAAACAAAAGCGACGACGACGACGAACGGACCCAAAATATAAGAACTGCTCAACAAAACAAATCACTTCGACATGGTTTTGAAATTTGGAAAGCGAGAGGTATCTCGCATGCGGATTCCGTGTACGAGTAACTGTAACATACTGTCACAATGGTATCTGTGTGTGCTTCGATAGCTAGATATGCATATACAGCTTCAACTACAGACGGACCCCCGTACCTTAACCTTCACCCTCCGTGCACCATGGTACAAAAGGAACAAGAGCAATAGGCTCCCACTCACCCCGTTAGTGCAACTCCAGTTGTCGATTACCTGATGCTAAGGGTACTCTTGTTACCGAGTAAGCGGCGTCAGCAATAACTCGAGCTTCAAACGTCCTTTGCATTCCCAAACGAGCGGCAGCCATGTTTCGAACACTTGATGGAGGAAAGGCATAAGCTCGAGGAGGCCGTACAGGTGCTGGTGGCCTTCGTGGTTGGTTGTTTATTGAGCAGCTAGCTTTAGCGACATATAACAGTAGTACGTAGCTATGATAATACGGTAGATGTGTCGCAAATTAGTTGAGCCTGCCTCCTATGCAGACGTAGAGAAAAAGAAAGCGTACATGAATCATTAACTGTATTAGTACGCTGCGGCCGCAGCTAGCGTACATTAAAATGCATCCAGCACAATTAGCGACGATCAGACTTTTGCGGGCGAAGATACTTACTGGGAGTGTACAGACAGAGAACACATGCACTCTTAATGTGGGCGAATAAGCGTGCACTTAGTTCGCTGCAAGAGAATCAGATCCGAAGCTTGCTGTGAACAAACAGTGTTTCGGCCAAACCGAAGCTTGGTATTTAATTAGCGAAGTTTCATTACAATAACTACTATCGCTGCTGTAGCCGCTGCTCCTTCCTCTGACAAACATAACCCCACGCGTCAACTATATTATCAAGTATAAAGAAAACGGTTACCGATGTTTCGATCGATAACGACGATGCGAAAAATAGCTCTTGAGATCTTCACACAAGATAGCATCAAAGTTCCACAATTGTTGCTACCACCGAGGTGCACTTTGCCGCCGGTCAACGGGTGGACCTACAACTCGAGCATGTTTTCGCTAGACGTTAAGATCCCGCGGTGAAGGTAAAAGACGAGGCCAGTACAATGAAAGAGAAGGAAAAATACAAGCAAGACGCCTCCGTAAACTTAGATATATGTATATATATATATATATGTATATAGAGTTAGCGTATATATATATATATATGTATATAGAGTTAGCGTATATATATATATATATGTATATAGAGTTAGCGTATATATATATATATATGTATATAGAGTTAGCGTATATATATATATATATAT